ATGATAGGGAAAGGTCAAAAGTGGAGATGGGGAATAGCTCAAGAGTTAGCTTTTCAAGGATTGAAGATGCTTTGTTACACGCACCTATTCTCAAGTGGTATGATCCTAACTGTTCTATCAAGTTGGCCACTGACGCATCAAGTACAACAGTAGGTGGCATACTTCAACAAGAATAGGAGGATGGATGGCATCCAGTTGCTTTCTATTCTCAAAAGCTGGTGGCGGCGGAACAAAATTATCACACGAATGAACGGGAGGAGTTAGCCATCGTGTTGGCAACCAAACATTGGAAGCATTATTTGGGTGATAAGGAGTTTGTGGTGGAGACTGATCATAAACCCTTGGTTTATTTGAAAAAACTTAGAAGGATCTGTCCAAACGACAAATTCGAAGGGCAGAGTGGCGTCAACGCTTCAACATGAAGATTGTGTACGTGGAGGGAAAGAAGCAACTTGCAGATGCTCTCACACGCATGCCTTGTTTGAATCATGTTGCAGAAGTGAAAATTCAGGCGGATTGATGGAGCAAGATGTCACAATCCACAAAGGAGAATGAAGAGATCACTCGGGCATTACAAACTGGAAAGGCAGAGAAATCTCGAGGTTTGGCGTTTTACAATCAGCGTATATGGATTCCACAAGATCACGATTTGCGCACAATGATTTTGGCAGAAAGTCATGATACAGCCATTGCAGGTCATGTGTAAGTGGAGAAAACCGGGGAGAGTATACAACGAGTGTACTATTGGCCCAAAATACGTGAGGATGTGGAGTCTTATGTTCAAAGTTGTGTTGCTTGTCAACAAAACAAGGCAAGTAATCAAAAACCAGCGGGTTTATTACAGCCTCTTCCTATTCCCGAACAGCGGTGGGAACATGTCACCATGGATCTGGTATGTGAGTTACCACGGACTTTGTTAGGACATGATTCTGTGGTGGTTTTTGTGGTTAAATTGAGCAAGATGATTCACATCAGGCCAACCACAAAAACAGTAACAGCTCCACAACTAGCTCAATTGTATCTAGATGCAGTTTTTGTGAATCATGGCTTAAGCAAAGTGTTAATCACGGATAGAGGTACTCACTTCACTAATTTTTTTTGGAAAACTTTGTTTAGTTTTTTCAAAACAAAACTAGCAATGTCAACGGCCTATCACCTTCAAACTGATGGACAAACTAAGAGGGCAAATAGAACCATAGAGGATATGCTACGAGCATTCACATTAGAAGAGCAAGAAGAGTGGGACAACCTTTTGCCACTTGCGGAATTTGCATATAACAATTCTGTTAATGCATCCCCAAAAATGTCTCCATTTTTTCTTATGTATGGAGCTCATCCTATAACTCCTTCAAGTTTGATGAGACTTCCCAAAGGAGAGGAGTTTTCGACCAAAGTTGCAGCAGTCAACGAATTCGTGGAGCATATTCACCGAGGACTACATCATGCCAAGGAGAAGTTGGTGATAGCTCAAAATCGGCAAAAGCAGCAGGCCGATGCTCATTGTAGAGAAGTGATTTTTGAGGTTGGAGATCATGTTTGGTTATCTACAACGAATTTGTCTCTTGTAGGAACACCAAAGTTAAACCCTAGGTTCATTGGTCCATTTTTGGTTTTGAAGCGTGCTGGTGAAGTGTCATACAAGTTGGAACTTCCGTCACATATGAAAATACATCCAGTATTTCATGTGTCACGATTGTGAAAACATGTACCACGACCAAAACAATTCACCAACCAACCAGCACCACCTCCTCTTCCAACCTTGATAGCAGATCATGAGGAGTTTGAGGTAGAAAAGATACTCAAGAAATGTATTCGAGGTCATAAATATCCCAAAGTAGAGTATTTGATTCAATGGAAAGGCTATCCATCGTATGAATCAACTTGGGAACCAGCTAAAAATTTAGCAAATGCACCTTTGATAGTTCAGGAGTTTGAACGTATGTACAACGAGGACGTTGCATCTTAAAAGGAGGGAGGTTTGTAACCATCTTTAGCTAGTTAGAACTAAAGTAGAGGTTACTCTGAATATTGATGTAGATACTTTAGTGTGCACTAGTCATAGCTGCCACGTCAGCGATCCGCGCACTTGGTAGGTACAGAGTGGATGTGTTAGTTGACAGTGCCACGTCAGCAATCCGTGTGCTTGTTAGGGTTATCCGCCACGTCATCCATCCATTAGGAGTGGGATGGATGGTGGGGATTAGATCTTATCACCTTGTACTTGTTGGTGAGAGCTATATAAGGGAGAGGAGAACCATTGTTGGTATCTCTCATCTTCAGAGTTTACGTTTCTATCTTCCAGTGAACTTCTCTCTAAACCCTAGTGTTACATTTAGTTAGGGACTGTATTAGTGTGCGATGCTCTATGAATGACACATGTTTGCACTTTCAATTTACGAAGGTAGGTTCCACAAGACCACTGTTAGAAAGCCTCAGAGTTGCTCGGTATTGAACGTGTCATTGAGATGCACATTATCCAACTTCTCCTTGAATACTAAGATATATACTTTTCGAACTTGTGTGTTTGAAGTACAAGAAGCCACAAAAAGCGCAATCGTTTCACATCAGCTTTCAGAATCTGGTGTAGTGCATGTGGAGATCATCTCACAGTATATTGTGTATTAGTTACGTTTTAGTTAGAGTTAATTCTTATATGTACATTTATGAATTATACGTACATTTATGTATATTGTATAAATATTTAAATGTTTGTATTGTGATACGGGCATGGCTGCAAAAATTTGGTTGTGCCTCCAACCCTAATTGACACAATCTTAGTGTGAAGGCGTGACCAATAATTCAAGATTGAACACAACACGGAATCATGAGAGTACATTCAAAAATAATAAATATAAACTTCAATGGCAAAAAAGCAAACAACAAATTAAATAATGCAAGTAATCCAAACCATTAGTGCACTTAGAAATGCAACATAAAAAGCTAAAATTGCAAGCTCAAAAAAATGTGAACCAGCAGCAAATAAACGCAACTAAATGTAATCCATGAGCTTGCGCTTACCAAAAAAAAATTGTTTGAGAAATTTGTGTTGGGCAGCGGACTTTGGAGCTTTAAAAAAAAAACTAGTTTTAATAAACTTATGTAAACACTCATATTGAAAATCAACGCACAAGCCTGATCATAATGTGGCTGCAAAACACAAGAAGAAACAACAGATTGCAATGCTACTCCTTGTAGTATTAGGATCTTTTTGACATTTAAAGACTGTTATAAATATAAAAGCATGGATTAAATCACACAGTTCTTGGAAAACATTTTGAAGCAAGTGTTCATATCTAAACAACATAGCACACGCCACACATGACAACTACAATGAATTGAAGACGTTATTTCCAACTTCACCTTGTTTAGGGGGTTGAGAAAGTGCTGTGCATTTATCCAATGCCCACCATTCTTCACAACATCCACCTATTCCTTCACGTAGTCCAATTGAATGATTTCAGTTTTTTCTCGACAATTTTGGGCCGATTGTGATTGCTCCGCATCACATTCAGGCAACAGTCTACTGAGTCCTTGGGACTGAGGTGGCTTGCAAGTGAGAAACTATATCCAAGAGAAAATGCATGAATGATTGAGGAAAGTGAAACAACATTTGAACATATGGGTGTGGAAAATCTCCAAAAAAATCTCAAAAATCTCTTTCGAACTACAATGCGGCGTGAGGAAGTAATCTCTGGAGTAGGAGGATGGGGGAGGAAGTTGGGAGGGGCGGAAATCCCTCTGGATTTGATTTACTCCGAAAACACAAGGTTTTCAGGTAGAAGTATCTGATATTTCGCAGCGCCTGATTTCTTGCCGGCTAGGATATCCTAAACTGCCGCTCACTCCCATGTGGTAACGCAGGGAGCTGGCCGGCCAATGACCCGCTTAATTCCCAGTAGTGTGGCTTGGTACTTATAGAGTTTTTTGAGAAGTAGACTCTCCATTTCCAAACACTACCACTTTCAGATTTGACTTTTTAGTGTTAAATGGACAAAGTATCTTTATAGATAAAATGTAACACCAATATATCTTGAAATTATAATACATTTTCGTATATGTAAATTATTGAAGAAAATATAAAAATTTTAAATTGAACTTCGTATATTATGTTATTGATTCGATGATAACTTTTATTTTGTAGTGAAATGTAACATACAGAAAGATAACTATGTAGAGAAGTATCAATCATGATATGACGTACATGGAATTTTATGGTTTACAATGATACTTGTTAGGTGCCAATAAATTATAAATTATTTGTGTTAATGATAAATAACATCGATTAATTTTATTCGACAAACTATTTCTGTTCGTCAGATCCAATCAAATAATTTTTTTAACTCCGTGTTAGTGAAGGCATGTCAAGGAAGCCCGAGGCCACCCTACTACGTGTTGTAGGTCCGATGCATGACGACAGATGCAGCCGAGTCCGATCTCTGCCATCGTTTCTGCTTCTCCCAACACTCTCTCCATGGTGTCCGCCGCGAGAAGTTCGCAGCCAGAGCTTGGCAGCGACGCGATCAGACCGCCTCGAGAATCATGCACGATCCAGTCGTCGCTGCCGATTGCTGACCCATCTCTAGGAACCGGGTGTAACACGGCAAGGGACACTCACGAGGCTGAGATCGAGTTGATGAAGGTGCAGGCTAGCAATCAGCATCCGAGGTTAGAAATCGGAAGTGGAAATTCAGTTGCAGGTCGCTCGATTCATGCGACGGATGTAGAATTGCAGTGAGAAAGTCTGCGTAGAATCGATTGCTCCATGATTCACGTGTGGGGCTCAAGGAAGGGGACGAGAAGAAGGGGAGATTGATGCGACTGGCATCTGCGAGTATGGCTGCGGGAAATGAAGATAAGAATGGCAACGAGGGCCGAGATCCCAATCATAACGTGTTTCATTGACAATCATCGGCCATAGCATTCGTGACCGGGCTGTCTGTCTGCCAAATGGTACGAGGGCAGCGATGAGCTCGAGGACTTCCCAGAGAAGTCCTGGGATCGAGCAGCTCGAGCGCACTGGAATGGCTGCGGACCAGCTCGAGGTTGTGGCGCAGATGCAAGTTCGCACTGACCCGGATCGACGGCGTCGACAACATCCCGCTCATGCTCGAGGGCAATTGTTCAATCGGGCTCGGTCGATGACTCTTCGTCAGGAGATCGAGCTTCGAGTTGCCGCTGCATAAATTGGAGGATATGGCAGACGAGATCATCGACGCGACCTGTGTCGATCCGCTGGCGCTGAACCTGGGTCGGGCGAACGAGGTGGATGACTGCGACGAGGCCCGCGACAATCCATTCAACTTGCTGGAGTGGCGGTCGGGCAGAGATTCCTGAGAAGCTCGGCGTGCTCCATGATGACGGCCGTGGCGCAGAAGCTTCTGTACGCCGCCGCTTCATTCGACGGTCCTTCGATTCCGATGGTGCTGCTGGAGCTGCTGCCCGAGGGCTCGCAGTGCGACAATCATGTGGAGACTCTGGGGCGGCCGAGGCACTGACCCGAGCATCGAGCATGTGTCTTCGAACGAGTGGGAGGAAACCTTGGCGAAGCGACGATCACACCGATCTGCTCGTCAGGTATTGAACTCCTGCCTCGAAGAAATTCATTCGTCAATATTCCGAGCTGCAGCTGCAACACGACTCACTGACAGATTCCCACAGTGGTCTATGTCCGACAGCCGATCGATCGGACTCGGTCACTGACTCGAAGGGTCGTTCATCCCGGCGCAGCCCTCCCTCTTCGTGCATTTCTCTGTCGGTTCTGAATCAGTCGATGGCCAGCATCTCTCATGGACTCCCTCCCCCGCACAGAGAAGTTCGATTTCAGCCCCCTCTCCACAGTACAACGCAAGTGGCTCCCAACAGTCTCGTGAGCTTGGTTGGTGTCGCAAGGAATTACAGAGCTCTGGGAAACTTGGTGGCTGCAGAACTGACGAAGGTGGAAGTTTGAATACACAGCTCCTTACTCATTTCTGTGCAATGATTTTCAAGAGCACCATGGACGGTTCGTTGGTTGGGTTGCATTGTATTGCATTGGATTCACTCAGAGGAGGGATGATCAACAGAACCACGTAAAGATGAATCCGCTGTAGGAGTGGTGCACCACCAAAATTATACGCATGAACAATGGGAATGAGGTTTCATTCATTTTCTACGAGTAGGTCTAGTATCCTGGATTTATAGTCCTCTGATTCACTAGGAATTTGGAGGAGCCCATCGAAGTGTAACAAGTAACTGTCTTTGACAGGCTGAACTTGCAGATGGGAGTGTTGTTGCTGTGAAGAGACTCACTCCGACAAAGCAGAGTACATCGGACTTCTTGAATCGTAATGAATGATCAAAGAGCTTGTGTGCTCGTCTGTCGCTGTTCTTCGTGTATTCCTGTTTTGGACTTCACATATCTGCACGAGAATTGCCTGAAGGATTCGCAATAAGAGGCAATAAGGATTCCTCCCGGTCAAGGTTGAGAAGTGTAGACTCTTTCATGTGGTGGCCCAAGTCCAAAACAGGAATATACGAAGAACATCAACATACCAGAATACGAAGATTATTCATTCTATTGTATTGGATCAAATATTGATGAAGTTTCAATTTTTGAAAATGCAATGTAAAATTTCATTTTTATATTTGAAATAACCATATTTACCATTTCTTTCAAGAAGTCCGACGTACTCTGTTTTGTCAAAATGAATCTCTTCACAACAACAACACTCCCATCTGAAAGTTGTTGATTCTATTTTTATTGAAAATCATTCTCATATATATCTTCCAAATTGATTACTCTGAACTTTGTTTCACGAGTATTTCACTTTTTAACTGTAAGAATTTTGGTGAATAAATGCTCCCAGTTGTATCATTTAACAATCTGATATTTGGAAAGTTTCACTATTTATCATATAGACCAATGAATATCTATGACATAGATTCATACTGGTCAAATATAATTTCTATATAGATGTGGGTGGTGAATGATTTCTATATATTTTTTACTATAGATATATTTTCAAGGTGTTGGTTGCAGCCACAGGCTCAAGAGTGTGTCCCGACGTGCAGCCAGGTCTCTGGGCCTGCTAAACTGCTGCGCAGAGACAGGAAAATTTCCAGGCGTTCTCGATCTGCTCGATGGCTGGCCTTCAGAGCATGAAATGGCTTGCTGATTATGGAGAGCCGAAAACAGGAGCAGGAGCTGGAGCAGGAGCGATCGTTGCTCAGGGCGGATTGAGCAAGCTGCTGCTGACTAATTGGAATGCACTTACTCTCAGGTAAACACCATGGACGGTTCTCAGGCTTTGGAATTCAATCCTCACTTCCAGTTTCCTCAACGCACTTCTCTTTGTGTGGTCTGATGTCGCGGACGATGGATGCACTTACAGTAATGACCACCAAATCTCAACTCACGAAGGCAGTTTGTGTTTTCAGTCAGCTAAAGGTGTTCGTGAAGGCGATGCTTCGAGACTACCACGGTGCACTGAGTCACTTAGACATGGTCAGATTTCTGATGCCGGCAAGAGTCTTCTACTGGCAAGAACGTGGTGTGGTGAAACGTTTGATGGGTGGCCTGCCAGGAGCACAAGACGATCTAAATTCTCGTGTGGCCAGAAACTCTCTAAGCTGTGACAGTTTCAAACGCAGAGCATGCTTAAAATTCCGTCTGGAAGACACCAATGGCGCTTCTGCAGATGCTGAATTGGCGATGAAAGTCGCTTTCAGCAGCCAAAGCACGACCAAAGCACAGACTTCACGTTCGATTTTTCCTCTCGTGCATGTTGTCGACTGTCTTGGAATGCTTCCGGTACAGTTCCTAGATTTTACATTGACCTGACGACTAACGAACAAGGCAATAATGCATCACTCGCGGACGTAAAAGCAGTGACGAGGGCAACGAGTCCTGACAAATAAGCCACATGTTCAGCATCACAACTGAACATCATCTGATGGGCCTGTCGACGTTCCAACACAGATTTTAGTCACGTCTTCAGAATGGCTTTGAAATCCCTTGGATTTCACAGTAGGGCGCTTGTAATTGAGGTGGTGAAGTGAATTCCGCAGGAAATGAAAGTCAAGGGAAAGCGTTGGACTGCTCAAGTTCGACACCATCTTACACTGCCCTCATGGACACTGCAGTTTTGTTCTACACTGAAGGTGTGTGCTGCTGAGATTAACAGGCCGGCACATCATCCCATCATGATGAAACTCTGGATAAAGTCTTTTTTACTCTACAGCAGAATTATTCGCAGCAAAATTCGGAGGATACTGTCAACACAAGCAGGACAAGCTTTCCAATCCAACAATCACAGTGTATCAAATATGTTACCGTGAGATGGATGATATAGTCCATCTAATTTAATACCAACGACGCATACCCGCGATTCCAAACACGATACACTATCCACAACGTCGTCATTAAGTTGGTATTAGATTAAAAAGATAATTAATGTTATAATAGATGTCACATTCAGTTTTCGCAAGTTTATGTGTGTGGTGCAAACCGCTACACAAGGAGTCCAGAAAGCAAAGTTTGCCTTATTTGATCTGATGTACTATATAAGCAGGTGACAATGTGGAGCAGCAGTCAGGATATGCAAGCATCGGTAAACAGATAGGCATCAAGGGCTGTACGGAAGGGAACTCCTCATCCACTTGGCAGATTCACTTCATTCCGCCTTTTATCATCGTACATTGTAATGCTCTTCTTCTGCCGGATAAATTGTCCCTCCATGTTCATGTCGGATCCGAGGAATACTCTTAAAGGAAGTTGTGGGACGAGTATCGAATCTTAGGCAGCCCGTGCAAGAAGAGTGGATGGAGGAAGGTGTGTTATGTCGACCGCCACGTATTGAGCAGCCTCCCAAGTTCTGTTCACAGCAATTCGTTTCCTCACGTTCTGAGAACAACATCCTTGTCGAAACACAGAAGTATGTTCCACCACATTCGCCTGCTGCCATGTGACGTACACTGCTTGATTGTTGTTTCTCACATCTGATCTTGTCAGCTGAGCATTCAGCCAGACGTGGATGGTTTTTTTTTTAAATCTTCGTACCTCGTATTTTACAATTACCTCTCTCTCTCTGTAACATATCCCGATTCGAGATTTCCTCCACCTCGTTCGCCCGAGATGAGGCTCGAGTCTCAAGTCTCGAACATCATCCACAGCAATTGACACATTCTGCGACGGGGACAGCTGTGGCGGCTGCTGGCTCCTGATCGGTCGTACATGACGGCGGCGGCCGAGTGTGACGGTCGACTTGTGGGTTTCGAATTGGCGATGGCGGTCGTGGAGGAGGAGCATGCCCTCGAGCATGAGCGGGATGTTGTCGAAGCCGTCGATCACGGTCAGTGTCAACTTGCATTTGCGCCACAACCTCGAGCTGGTCCGCAGTCATTCCACTGCTCTCGAGCTGCTCGATCCCAGGACTTCCCAGAGAAGTCCTGGTACGAGAGCAGCGATGAGCTCGAGGACTTCTCTGGGAAGTCCTCGAGCTCATCGCTGCCCTCGTAATATTTGGCAGACAGACAGCCCGGTCACGAATGCTATGGCCGATGATTGTCAATGAACCACGTTATGATTGGGATCTCGGCCCTCGTTGCCATTCTTATCTTCATTTCCCGCAGCCATATTCGCAGATGCCAGTCGTATCAATCTCCACTCTTCTCCTCCCCCTCCTTAAACCCCACACGTGATTCATGGAGCATTCGAATCTACACTCTTTCTCACTGCAATTCAACACCCTCTGCATGAATCGAGCGACCTGCATTTGATTTTCCACTTTCGATTTCTAACCTCGGATGCTGGTTGCTAGCCTGCACCAACATCAACTCGATCTAAGCCTCGGAAGTGCCCGTGCACTGAGTTGAATCCCACTGGACTTCAGACCTTCGACTCGAAAAGAATTTCTATCTGGTAGTCGGTCGGTCCGATGCCATAAAAGTCACTGGCAGCGCGACGATCACCGAACCAGATGGAGTATCCGAGAGCTCTGGAGTCGACGGCGATGCTTGCTCCCTGGCCGTGTTTAGGGGAAGCAGACTGTGATGCTTCTTCGTTGGACATGGGCTGAGGCAGAGACAGAATCAGGTCTGGGATGGGGCCGAGGGAGGGGGAGTCGGAATGACATCGACATCAGCTTGTCCCTGTCCCCTTCGTCCAAACATCTTCTGCCTCACGCGTACATTGTGAACTAGAGACTTTCATTCCTGCGAAAAGAATCGTGTATCCTCGATCGGATCGCTCGCTAGCACTGTTACTGTGGCCTGCATCTCATCGATCGAGTCGAATACTGATCTGCTTTCGTTCTTACGTACTTTCATACTTCTGTCAACTTACGCCCTCCGCGACTCTATGACTTCTCCATGACTCCATGACTCCATGCTCCCTCGTGTGCTGCTGTGCTCGGCGGACGACAGATGAGCCCGGAATTACGAGGATTCGAGCTCATGCCTTCCAGCTTCGGGCCGCAGGCGCTCGTAGAAACTCAATTGTGGCTGGCTTGATTTTTTGTTCTATCGACACGAATCCGGCGAGTGAGAGATACGCACTGAGCACAATGCGCACAGGATTCCCTCCAGTGTCTTCAGAGCATGTTCAATCCGACCTGCACGTGCTACATGTACTTTCGTCCGATCCCAAGCTGGTTTCTGGAGGACGGAACTTGAGGTGCTTTGCTCTCTTCAGCTTTGGTGGGCGTCCTACATTCCAGCCCGGGCCACGTCTTCACCAGTTCGCTGATCCGAGGTGAGTCCTATGGCTCGCGTTCGTGTTTTATTCTAGAGAAGGTCCGCTCAAAGCTCATCTTCAGATGTTCCCTTCTTCTGCTTATGGACTCAATATACGACAAGCTGCATGCTGAGGAGCAGTTTGTACCGAAGCGTAATCTCGTGATCGGATGTCTTTCCCGTCGAGAAAATCTAATCTCTGAACTTGCTGTACAGTCTGACTGAGAGATAACTCGAGCGCACACCGCACAACTGTAAACACGATGAAATCCGTAATCACCACTCGCTCCACTGAGAAACGAACCCCGCGCACATTGCTCGAGCAGGGGAAGGTGCAATGACAAATTCCCATGGCACGGGTCCGAGAAAACTTGAACCTTGCAGACTTTCGCGGCACCTTTCGACCGTGATGCACACAAAGACTCGAGTTCATCGGTAACAGAATGAACATCGATAATCAATGACATGATCATCTGTGCTCAAGCCTCAGTACAGGGAACCGAGGGAAGAGATTACAGCATTGTGGACATCCCGTGGACTGCCATGAGAGATTCACAGTCGAGAAGAACGCTGACTCTGCCAGAGGTTGCCAACTCCAAAGCTCTACAACAACAGGACTACAGTCTGGTGACTCTAGTCAGCGTTCGACTTAATCGGGTGTTGGTGATCGTGATCTCGAGTACACTCTTCAAGGCAAAGGTATCGATCATTTCCGACGGTCGAAGATTTGTACATTACGGATCGTGTAATACAGCGGAAATCAATAAGGTACAGAATGGCTTTCTTTTCTTTTACAAGAGAACATTACTTTTCGTTATTTTTTAAAACTGATTTTTCTGATGCAGTGTAAAACTTATTTTTGTGAGCTGCATTTCCTCAGGTCCAATGTCTCACGAGTATTGAACGGAAGCATATTCATCGTACACATCATACACGAGCTTGAGGGAATACTTTGATTATGTACGACTGTCTGCTGGACAGTGAAAATGAGAGTTGGCTTCACTTGGTGAAGCTAATTCGTAATTGAGTAATTCGGGAAGATTACTCAGTGACGCAGGGGAGAACGAGCCTATTGTACAAGACCCCTACATTCTTCGTTCCACTGATCTAGTGGCCGGCAATGTCGAATTTCATTGCTAATCATCTAACGCTGCTTTAAATTTTACAGCAAATTCGGCAACTGCTTGAGAGTTCTCATTGACAGATACCTTTTGTCTTTCGCGGTTCACTACAAAAATACTCCGCGTATGTAAACTCACTATCTAGATTAATGCCGGCTATCTCCTCAAACGAAGATTATCAAAATTGCTACTACTCAATTGCAGAACGCATCTCTACGTCGTTCTGTCCGCATTGGATCTTCAACATGTGTTGAATAACACAATATCATGTAAACGAAATGGTTCACGGTCATCTGAATCCTCTCCTCAGCAGTGCGCCTCTGTTGGCCACGGACGCTGCAGTCTTCGAATACATCATCGCCTTTCTCGGAACTGACTGTTTCTCATCGAACCCGAACGGAATTTCAATTTTTGACACTTTTGGAACTTCTTCTTCGGCTTCCCTTCAGACTTTGGTCCTGAATTTGATGTCCCCTGAACAATCAAACGCAATTCCGATGAGACTGCGAACACCCACACGTACGTCTAACCAATTCTGCCTGACCCGACATTTGGACAATGATAGGAGAAGAAAGATGATCCTAATTGGGGATCCCAAACAAAGGAACGCGAATACAAATGACGAGGAAGTTCTGGAATCGAGAAAATCTACTCGAGGGAACGTTTTATGAAACGTCGGTGACTGAAAAGACACTGCCTTAATGTGTTGTTAGCAGAAGAGATCAGAGGAAACCGGCGGAGAATTTATTTTCAGAATCAGGATGAGGCCTTGATTTGCTCGAAACTAGAACAGGATGGAAGAACGGGAGGTAAAGAAGGTGACATTGTGGTTGCTGAATTACCAATGTGAAACGTACATGAATTAGACAACACACGGCTGTAATCTAGCTGACTTTCTAAACGATGAATTTGCCTAAAAGCTCGACCGAATTTCTAGTATGAACACTCCAAGCTCAAAGAAAAGGTGCGAACCATGACAGAAATCACCGAGCAAAAACAAAGAAGTGGCTTACATCTCGGGAGCTCAAAATCCTCGTGATGTCATGCAGAGGTCTCCTCGTGTACCACACCGGCAGCGGACTGCTCCGGGTCGGAGGTGGAATAGATCCTCGAACAGGGCAGAAATTCTCCAATTCGGCGAGAAATTCCTCCATGAGCCAGGGCATCTCCGACCTTTCTGCGGTAGACAACGCAGCTCTCGCTCGATTCAAAGCGGCCATCGACGGATTGTAGACCTGAATTGCTCGGGAATCCATCGCGCCGACGACTCGAAAACTCAACGAGGAGAACGACCTCTTCTTCCTCAAATCCTGTCACCTCCAATTTCTTCGATTTCAATTCGAACTCCTGCTGCTGATCCTTCTGCCACCCTCCACTCGCTGCCTTCCTTCCTCCGATCGCGTGACTGAGCTCTGGGCCACGATTCTCGACCCGCACTCGAACAGCAGCAGAGAACGAATGGAGAAATGGAGGCTGCGGCAGCCCTTTATACTCATGGCGCTCAGCCAGCGTCCCGCCCACCGGGCCGAACGATCATGATGATAAGGCCCCAGCGTCCCGCCCACCAGGCCGAACGATCATGATGATAAGGCCCGCTCGCAGTCGACGACTGAAGGCACTTCAAAAACGTTTGAACCGCGAGCGGTCATGCTTGCGCCCGAAGATTAGTACAGTCCATCAGGAATCGTGCAGTACAGCGGAGATCAATGAAGTACAGAATGGCTGTCTTTTCTTTTACAAGAGAGCATTTCTTTTCGTTATTTTTCGGAACTAATTTTTCTAATACATTGCAAAACTTATTTTCTGAGCTGCATTTTCTCAGGTCCAATGTCTCACTAGTATTGAACGGAAGCATATTCATCGTACACGAGCTTGAGGGAATACTTTGATTATTTACAACTGTCTGCTGGACAGTGAAAATGAGAGTTGGCTTCACTTGGTGAACCTAATTCGTAATTGAGTAATTCGGAAAGATTACTCAGTGACGCAGGGGACAACGAGCCTATTGTACAATATCCCTACATTCGTCGTTCCACTGATGTAGTGGCCGGCATTGTCGATTTTCATTGCTATTCGTCTAACGCTGCTTTAAATTCGACAGCAAATTCGGCAACTGCTTGAGAGTTCTCATTGACAGATACCTTTCCTTTCCTCCACTACAAGAATACTCCACGTATGTAAACTCACTATCTAGATTAATGCCGGCTATCTCCTCAAACGGAGATCTTCAAGATTGCTACTACTCAATTGCAGAACGCATCTCTACGTCGTTCTGTCAGCATTGGATCTTCAACATATGTTGAATGACACGATATCATGTAAACGAAATGGTTTACGGTCATCTGAATCCCCTCCTGAGCAGTGCACCTCTGTTGGCCACGGACGCAGCAGTTTTCGAATACATCGTCGGCTTTCTCGGAACTGACTGCCTGAGATTCGGATTCGAATTCTCATCGAACACGGCCGGAATTTCGATATTCCGACACTTCTGGAACTTCTTCTTCGGCTTCAATTCAGGCTTGCATCCTGAATTTGATGTCCCCTGAACAATCAAGCGCAATTCCGATGAGACTGCGAACACCCACACGTACTTTATGGACGATATATTTAACCAATTCTGCCTGACACGACATTTGGACAGAGATAGGAGAAGACCGATGATCTTAATTAGGGATCTCAAACAAAGGATCGCGAACACTAATGACGAGGAAGTTCTGGAATCGAGAAAACGTCGGCTTCGGTCTCGAGCAAATCTACTGAAGCGGACGTTTTCTGAAACGTCGCTGATTAAAACGACACTGACTTTATGGTTGCCGAATTACCAATGTGAAACGTACATGAATTAGACAACACACGGCTGTATAACCAGCTGGCTTTTTAAACGATGAATTCGCCTAAAAGCTCGACCGAATTTCTAGGATGGACACACGATGAAAAGGTGCGAACCATGACAGAAAACACCGAGCAAAAACAAAGAAGTGGCTTACATCTCGGGAGCTCAAAATCCTGGTGATGTCCTGCAGAGGTCTCCTCGGGTACCAAACCGGCAGCGGACTGCGCCGGGTCGGAGCTGGAATCGATCCTTGAACAGGGCAGAAATTCTCCAATTCGGCGAGAAATTCCTGCATGAGCAAGGGCATCTCCGACCATTCCGCGGTAGACAACGCAGCTCGCGCTCGGTTCAACGCGGCCATCGACGGATTGTACACCTGAATTGCTCGGGAATCCATCGCGCCGACGACTCGAAAACTCAACGAAGAGAACGATCTCTTCACCTCCCTAGAAATCTCTCAATCTCTCGCTCCACCTCCTCTCTACTCCTGCTCTTCTTCCACAAATCCTGTCACCTCCAATTTCCTCGGTTTCAAATCGAGCTCCTGCTGCTGATCCTTCTGCTACCCTCCACTCGCTACCTTCCTTCCTCCGATCGCGTACCTGAGCTCTGGGCCACGATTCTCGACCCACACTCGAACAGCAGCAGAGAACGACTGGAGAACTGGAGGCTGCTGCAGCCCTTTATACTTCTGGCGCTTAGCCAGTTTCCCACCCACCGGGCCGAACGATCATGACGATAAGCCCCGCCCGCAGCCGCCCGCTCGCAGTCCCCGACCGAAGGCACTTCAAAAACGTTTGAACCGCGAGCGTGGGGCTGCGGCTCCCTCGCTCTCCCCCCTCGCTCGTTCATGAAAGCTCTCGCAAGAGGAGAAGGGAAGGGGGGAAGCGCAAGCCCCAGACCGTCGAAGGAAGAGGGAGGCGCCGGATCGGGGCTTTGAACGGACTTTTGAAATTCGAACGCCAAGACGCACAAGGGAGTGCAGGTAGCGAGGGGGGACGGCGAGAGGGCTTGAGGGCTTCAAACTCGCCTTGGCGGCCCGCACCATGCACGCGGGACCGGCTGCCCCGGTCGGCTTCGGGGTAATAATAGATCTTGTGGCAGGCGTTCTGGTTGGCCCTGGGGGCTCGCGGTTCGAAGGCCCGGCCTCCCTCCCTGCGGGAATCAATGCTTCATGGCATGGAACCATCCATGGCCTCCTGCCTATTTCAGGGGCGCGCACGCCAGCCGGTGTCGGACAACTGCCACAAATAGACATTGGAGACCGCCCGCGTCCAGGACGCGGGTGGTCTCGAATGTCTTGAGGAGGAAGCGAGGACGCGGCGTGCTTGCTTCCTTCTCGGTATGCATGGTTCTCACGGCCGCATTTTCCCTCCAAAGTGAACCTTTTCACTCCGAAACCGCACTCCATTCAACGCCACCTCTTTCACACAGCAATCTATCCTCAATTGAAACCAGCACTCTTGGTAATCATGATATCCTTCTTTAATATAATCGATGATAAAAATATATTAGTAAATAATAAAATTTTAATATGAATTTTTCAATATTATATGATTTTTTTTCATTCGAGAAATTATCTGAATTTGAAAAAAAAATCGTATTTAATACAAATACGTGGATTAGGAAAACTTAAAATTAAATAATAAATATGTGCATAATTCTAAAATTAGATGCTCTTGTTGAGCTGAGTGATTGTTATTTACTAGTAATTTGGTTTCAAATATGTACTTTATCAAATAATTTACAAAATAAAATGGATATCTTTTTGGAACAAATAACCTATAATCATTATAGAAATCATATTTAGACTGATACATATATATAAATATATATAATATTATGTATTGAAGGTATCCATATTGATTTTTATCTATACATTTTTAGAATGTATCAAAAGCGACAAAAATGTCGTTTTTTGAAAAAAACGACAAAAATAAATATCATACTGAGATATATTGAAAGCTAAAATATTTGTCTAATATTTTAAAGTTTTCATCTCAACTTTAAACCTTAAAGTCACCAAAGAAACCATCTTATGATCAAATATCTTATGTGAAATCTTTTCTTATTTGTAAGATTTTTTATATTTTATTCATTTATTAGTTATTAAAATATATTATTTTAAAAAAATTATTAGATATGATGAAAATGATTGTTGAAAATTTTTAATATAATATTTCACTAAAGATAAATGAAATAAAAACAGACTAGCAAAAGCAATTCACAAATTAATGGTATGTCTATTTCAGTTTACATGCTCTAGTTGGATAAAAAGTGCGTATGTATTTTTTTCATAAAAAATATGTCAATACATTATTTACACAAACATTTAAATATTTGAATGAAGTTTGATTTTTTTCATTTTATAAGTTTATGAATTATTCCATATTTTTATCCATATATAAATAAATATATATGAAATTAATATATACATTGGGATTGATATAGAATCAAATTTTGATGCATAAATAATTAATTTTGTGACACTTTTTATACATTACTGAAGATATTAAATTTTTTGAAATCAAATGTAAATTTTTTTAATTTTTATTAGAAAAAATATCTTCTAATTCATTATAATTTTAGAAAATTCGATTTTTTAGACAATGGATTTTAATTTTAATTCTTTCACATAACAAACATACATAGACAGTTATAAATTTATAAGTTTCAATGCAATATCATTTTGACTATTAAGCAAATACATACTTTTCTATTAGACTAGTGTATCTGTATGTTTATGTTTTGTTTATTTAAATTTTTTTGGGAAAACATTGAACTGAATTTATCCACATTAAATATAATACTATCCAATGAAATGTATGCAAAATTTTGAAAATTTTTTGATTTTCCTAAATCAATAAAAAATTCATTAAAATGACATTTGTATAATTTCGATTTATATTAATATTTTCAATTTTTATATTTCTCCTGTAAAAAATATTTCAAAAATTTATAATTTTATTAAAAATTCTAATTTTATATTTAAATAAATTGATAAAAAATATATATAACACAATATCTCCATAAAAACTATGATTTTCTTATTTTTTTGAATTAGTTTCAAACATAGATTATTTTAAATATTTCATAATTTTTTAAAATTAAATTATTTTTCAAAAAGCGTATGTATTTTTTGAATATTTTTTTTCATTTCAATTAAAAATATTTTTATCTTTAGATTATGGTTATGAAATGAGTGAAAATGACTTAACTGGAATTTTTTTGTGATATTATGTGTGAATTTGTGTTGTTCATTTGTTGCTTTCGTACTTACGAAATTTGATAATTTAGTCACTGATCCATATAAGATCTAATAAATCTCATAGCATCTTATGTTTGTGCTACTTGATGCAAAAAACGATTCCTTGCAATAAAATAAGCAAAATTTAAAATTTTATTAAATTCAAATTACATTTCTTCATATATATCCAAAAATGACCAATAACCAATAACTTCTTATTGTATTATTATGATCTGAGATTAAATAATCTGAATTATTGCATTATAATAAATTATTTTTTTCAAATTTTTTGCTGCATTGTCAATATGATAACTCAAAATAAATATATTTGGTATGTTAAAATTTTCAAACTTGTGATATTTTGCTTCCATAAGACACTTTAAAAGAGAATTAACTTCACCATATCCACATGCAACAAATTTTGGACAATTCAAGATATTCAAAAATATTCTATAAACTTGCAGTAGATGTGAATAAAGTAATTGTAATCTAACGGCTAGATGTGAAAACAACTTTATATAATGATCGAAGCTTGATTTGACTCCTGTAGAAAAGTAATATTTATGAGGCATACAAGGAGTCATAGAGACTTCTTTGGATGAGAGGTAGCCGTAGAGCTTATTCCCATCCGAGGGGAAAGAAGAGCTAATCCCTGGGTAGAAGATGGTGGCAAGGATAATATTTGGGTTAGTTTGGACACACATTTATACCATGAAAACTATGTTCTTTTCAACCTAAAAGTCAAATATAGAAAAGTACGAGAATTTTGATATAACACACACGTAGATTTATACGTATCAATTGATAACCTAAGAATCTAACTCTAGGAATCAAAAAGGGTTTTCTGGAACCATGATCCATTCCAAGATCCAGTGATTGAACAAAAGATGTGCTAGAACGTACGAGCCATGTGCAAACATAGACAAACATATTGGGTGTTTCCCTTTCAAAGGAAAGGGAAATCTTTCTTAAGCACCTTGGACCATTGGGGAGGGCCCACCAAGTCATCAAATCTTGCTTAAGTTGTGAAAGAATCACTGAGTGAATATCCATTCTTGAATGGTTAGCATGATAAAACGACATATGGATCCTAATGCTTACTTTTGAATGGATGTTTTTGTACGCTTATGTTGATTTGAAACGGTCAGGTCGTTTATAACAGGCCACCTAAGTTCTGGGATTTGTTAACAAAATCCCAGAATTAACCAAAATTAAATCTTGCGGCATCGATAAACTAAAAACTTCATGATCACAACTTTGACTTTGCCACAAGTAGGATTGTGCCACGTTGCCTTTGCCACAAGTAAAATTAAGATACGTATTATTCATCTTTGTACAAATCATTCTTTCACAAATCTACGAAACTTACACGTGACAAAGTCAATTAGTCTCGAGTATGCGTATGTACTCTATTTATTGAAAAATCCCAAAATTACCAATATTAAGAAGATTAGAATCCACAATTTAAGTTAATTGCGTTAGTTATGGGAATTCCGAGGCCCTATGAGGCCTGGTTGATAGTGAAGACTTTGAAATGAAGAGTTTGGATTTGTAGGTACAGAGTACTTGTTGCCTGGGGACTCATCTACTTGTTGACCGGTACCATCTCAAGCTCCGGTTGACTCTTTCATTCTTCTGAAAGCTTTTGGTCTAATCAAAGGCATCTTATCAAAGTGATCTATATTTTTTATTTTTTAATTTCGCATGTGAGTGTCGCTACACACGGTCAACGTGATTTAGCAAGATAAATTTAAAAGATGATATTATTTAATCCAAGTATCAGAATCGTTTTGATTTTGCTGCACACCATTGATATTACAACATTAATTTATATATTTCGAATGACAAATTATTCATTTTTGGGTATAAATATCGCAAGCACATTCTACACACAGAGAATAACTAAGAAAAAATGCCGAGGAGAATAAATTCTTGGTCCGATCGGAATGTTTGGTTCTTCTTGATGCTTAGGATTTACATCAAGTGCACTCAAGACGCTAAGAATAGACTTTACTTTGGATAATGAATCGGGCTTGCCGAGGAGCAGAATGTACTAAATTAAGTGGTCAAAAAATTGGAAAGCATCCCCTCTCTGACCGTGTCTGTTGCCCTGGGCTACAGAGCTTGTCTTGAATTATTCTCGTCCATTTGGTCAGGTGCGTGAGTCAGCTACCTCCAATTCTGCGTTCCAGGATATCTTCTTTGAAAGCTGTAACATTTCCGGTCTTGCAATCCAAAGCCAGAAGGCTTTCAGCAAGATCCTATAACAAGATGTTAGAATGTTGAATAACAAATTTGTATAGTGTTCACGGAAATTTTATATAAATTTCCGTGAACACTGAGACCCTAAAATAAAGACCCTCAAGTTTGAATGTGATTGCATGACCAGACAACAGTCCTCTATGGAAACGAGAATCCAGAAAGAATTATGGGAAGAGAAGAGATGGACGGTTTATTACCCTGTATTCTCGATCTCTAGAAACAACTCCAGGAGCGTTGAGACGATCTATTGGTTTGCCAGACAGCAGGAGTTTTTGAACATATCTAGAACGGTTAAGTATCTCCTCAGAAACTCCTGCGCACCCGTTTGTACGAAAAAATAAGGGAGGACAGAAAGCAAAGGAGTAGATAATGTCCCTCGATCATTGTGTGGCGAATACAACTTCAAAGACAAGAGGCGTTCAACTCACCAGCCAGCTGTGCACAGTGAATTCCTGCACGTATCAAGACGGTTTGGTTAGATTCATACACAAAATCAGCAGCCTTTTCGGCTGTGAGCTATTGGAATACTTGTTATGAAAGGAAAGGTCAGCAATATTGGATTTAGTTGTTTGCTTACCGTAACTTGGCACTTTGTATCCAGGAACCAACCTGCGAAAACATCACAATTTTTTAATTCACTGTTTGATTTTATACTCTCAAACACCATTGAGCAATGCCACCTGACAGTCTTTCTTCATTTACAAATATCACATCGTCTATTTCCTGCCCCCTTCTTGAAATCCATTTGAGAAATAGTACGAGGTTGGCTTAATGCGAACTAGTGAAGTTAAAATGACTTATAAGGACCGTACGTTTTTTGTCACGTGGATTATGACAATATTAGACTGTCTTGTCTACGATACTTCCACATCTATATTGTGAGGAAGTAGACATAACCAATCAATACAGATTATTCATCTTCAATCTCTTAAAAACATCCAGAACAGAGAGATTATTTATTTATATTCTAATTCTGTTCTCAAGTCAACTTTAATTTTTTTTAAACCGTACCACATGACCATATATCACACTGTTTTTGTCATGTACCTGTATAGAGAGACAATACCAATACATATTCGTTATCTTTACTTTTTTATAGAGCATTCAGATCAGAGAGATTCACCATTTAGGTTTTAATTCTTTTCTTAAGTCAGCTTTTGTATTTTCAAAAACGTAAGACATGACCATGTATCACACCGCTTGTTTCATGTACCTGTATAAAAAGACAATATCTTCAAATTTGCGGTCTTCATGATTGTTGCTTGAATCCAAAACACTCATGGTGTAGAAAATAATTTGCGGTGACTGTAATTGAAATGAATGAAAATTGTCATGCAGGTACGTCAAATTAGGACAAGAGTTTATTGAAAATGTGGTATCTGACCCTTAGAACAAGAGTACTTTATATTCTTAAAAACATCATGTGACGTCCAATATTTGACTAAGATTAGATAAGAAAGGTGGGAATTATTAGTTATCCGTTTGACAAGAACAATTTCTTGTGACAAGGATCTTACCTTTGGTAAATTGTTCTCGTCAAAGATTTCACTGAAGTGAGTGCATGCAAGAACCTGTAAAACTTAAGAAAAGTCCAAAATGAGAGGACTATTTCTAACTCCTCGTCGTCTCATAAGGACAATTTCATAAACTTAACAGTGTTAAGCACAATCTACTAGATGGACTACTTTATAGAAAAATGTTCAGAGATTTGGTCCCATGTTGATACGATAATCTCCTAGTACATACAATCGCTATTTATGATCCTATGTTTTGTAATTTTAACCAGTGACGAAATTTCGTGATTGACTATCATTGGTAATAACTACATAATGCAGCCCTCGGTACACATTTTACCTCGGGGAGTTTTTACATGTATTTTGAGAAATACATAATGTAACTTTTAGTTCGAAAAGAACTAAAAGTTGATGGTATTTACTTCTTCTTTTCCATCGTGGGCTATCTTGACCTTAATAGATCTTGGGTTTGCTTTAGGTTTCCATAGTAAAAAAATTTATTTAAAATTACCTTTGGAGGAGATTTCCGTGATGCAAATTCGAGTAGAGTAGCGCACAAAAGTCCTATACCATCTGTCAAAATATCAATTCACACATTTTATGTTGAAGCATCAGTGACAGATTAAAAAAACTAATTTGATTTCCGTCATGTAAACTTTACTTTGGAAAATAAGTCACACAAATTCACAAAGAAACTGGGTTTGAAGAGGCTGGTTCCAAGAATCAAATACAGACTATGTATTTGTTTGAAAAAAAAATACGTTATTTTTAAAATCGTTACTGGTATAAAAAAATAGTATTTTTCTCTGTAGGTGAATAACCGTTGGTTGAAATAACTGACCTGAAGTCAATGTACCCTTTCCGAACTCATCAATGAGACATAAAGATCTGGAAGTAGAGTGTCTGAATAATTGAAAGTTCGGTCGCGAATGGAATGTCGTTAGACTCAAATGATATAATACTGAAGTAAGATATGATTTCAGTGCACTGGTTTTCCTTATTTTTTCCCAATATTTGAAAACATATGATAAAGGATGAATCTCATCGCCCCCAAAATTTCAAAAGTAATTTTTCTATTAATGAATATGATTTCATTAGTGCTTATGTGTTTGACAAAGTGTTACCTGAGCATAACTGAAATTTGGTTTAAATCTATCATAAAGGAAGATTGAGAGATTCCCACAGTTTCTTTACTCGCAACTCTTGTAAAGATCCTGCACGCAAGATCAAGAAGTATTATAAGGTATCACTACAAAATTGATAATATGCAGATCAATATATATAGTTCAAGTCTCATAAATTAGAGGAGGATAAAAAATGTGTTGTTATGTAAACCGAACCTGTCTTGAATGCCTATAATGGCTTTATCAGCCGGCACAAAGCTCCCAATGTGAGCAAGGAATGTGATCAACGCCACCTATAAAATAGGCTTCAGGATTAGTTGAGATAACATCAATCTTCCGTCTTCGTTTTCCGTCAATATTTCGTTACCACTAGGTAAAAGCGGTAAACAGCAGGCAAGATGAGAATGACCTGTTTCGCGTATATACTTTTTCCAGAATAATTTGGTCCGGTCACGATGTTGATTCGGCCTGTTATATGAAAATGTAGTTGTTTGGATGTCATATTTCTAGTTTTCATGGTGGATGAAAGTAGATAAATTCCAAATTATTTTCTGATCTATGTATGCACTGGTTTTCAGAAATAAAAACCTTCAAGTAGCAAGTTAAAAATAAATTGAAGATGAATGAAGAGTAAATCAAACGTTCCATACCTTCCTTAGTTATGTGTGTATCATTTGGAACATATCTGTTCGCAGTCATTTCTTGTAGAACATGCCTGTAGTACTAAAAATTAAGTTTTCTGCAAGCTAGTCTTGGAAGTAGATATTGTCGGAAAGAGGCTTAATCGAATTTGGACACTAATACTCAACTTGATTACGTCATCAATACAACACCACGCTACCCATTTTTTTCGTTATCATATTATGTCGATGGTTACTCTTTCAGAATCTTACCTTCCGTTTTCGATGATTAGAACATCGTCTTCTCTTAGGTCGGGTCTTACGTATCCATAATCTCGAGCAGCAATGGCCAAGGCAGTAACACTGCACGTGCTCTTTTCAAAACCTTGTTACTTTCGAAGATGAATATTATCAGCACTTATATATCCTGTTTGATTTACGTGTCTTTACATGCAAGGTTGATGGGAAAAAACACCTTCCTGACACAATAGATAGGATATGACATTTTCTTATTAGATCTGACAACTTATAATCAGCTTACCAATCAATCTCAGCTGCAACTTTGGCGGCACTTTCCAGTGTTTGAGTATATTCTTCAATGTTTGCTGCCAGGTTTCTCAGAATGGCCCTTTCCATATCTGGAAAGTAAAGGTTAGAGTTAAACGATCTTTTGGATATAATATAATTCTTATTCATGTTCCGCTTAATAAGAAGGTAGGGTAGCACCTCCTCCAACTTTTAGATCATGCAAAGTCCGATCCACAAGAACCTGGAACTTGACAACAGTGGAAAGAATTTGTCGTTGTTGCAATGTTCATCTAACCAATTTGGCTTCTTAACCTAGAGTTCAAGGTAAGAAACAATTCATACCTAAGATCTTGTGATATAGATCGCCAAGAACCTTGTCAAGTTCCAAAGTTCTATGTGTTCGATAAAAACATTCCTTCCCTTCCGCTGTCTCTGCTACAAACTGATGATATTGCAATCTATAAATCAGTGACTACAAACACTGTCAACTGATTATTATTCTCGAGGATGATTATTTCTGTCTGAAATGTTGATGATTGGAAAAAGGTACTATTTGTTACATAGAGAGTCCTATAGCAACAAAAAAAAAAAAAAACCATGAATGCTTACTGCAAAAACATCATCATTCTACGATTCTAGATTTCAACAAAAACAGACATCAATGAATGCTTACTGCAAGTTCAAGATAAGGAAAGCGCTCTGCCACACTTTCTTCTAGGTTCCCCATTAAGCGCAAGAAATACCCTGTCAATCATCAAAGGCTAGAGTGTTTACGAAGTGTAGGGAAAGAAATAAATAGAGTCTCGTTGCACTGTTATGAATGTGAATGAACAAATTAACAAAATTCCCTTGTGCTGAGATTTTTATTGAGACCAACTACACTTTCAGTATCCCTTCCTAGACAAGCGCGTCGTACATACTGTGTATATCTTTTGATAGTAAGACAATGTGTCTACGATCCACGTTAGTTGTCGTCGAATTCAGTCCAACCCCAAACTGAGGACGCACTTTTCATTATTGAGCATTCCGATATCAAATATGATGGAAACTTCTAGATTCTCATTTTTAATATCCACAGAGATAAAAACTTGACCAATCACTCACATGTTCAACAATTGCTCTAAAAATAGATAACCATGCAAGCTCAGTTCTCACTAACCTACTTGAGGAACGTAAACGGTAGACACTTGATATTCGCTTATGTCTTCGGATATATTTTTCATCTCTAGATCGGTAACCTTCACAAATCCAGCATCACAAGGAAGGATATAGAAAATTCGGATTGTTATGTTTATGTGAAAAGACATGGAGAAGAACTAAAAATTGAAGTGAAGCAAGGTATTGTGACCTTTTATTTTGATAAGACGAACAACAACGACAACTCCAAAAAAAGTAGGAGATGAACTTCGGGCTATTAAAATGTATCACATCGAAATGTAATATTAATTTTCAGAAAGAATCTTGTAATCCATGTGGTGATATTGTCTCTAAAAAATACAATGCATAATGATTCATTATAATAATTTTTACTTTGAATTTAATGGTTTTAATATATTTGAATAATATTTATTGTATAGTATTTAATCTAAGCGAGAAGTTATGCTCATACCTTGTTGAGGAAATCTGGTAAACCTTTATAAAGTGTCTTGAGCTTGTCAAGCTGGAGCAAACATTTCCGAAACATGATAGTTTAATTAAGAAAAAAATTTAAGGGTGGAAAACGTGGATCCATCTTATCTTATCTATCTTCTCTTCTTGCATGTAATTTAAGTTAATTTTTATTCAAAAATGAAAAATGAAAAATAATAACTGGAATTTCTATATTGTCTCTCACTTTTCAACGTGAACCATCAACAATGAATTCTCTGAACGAGTTCCATCACAAGGTTTGGCTAAAGTGAAAGATTTCATATGTATCTCTAGTATGTGTATGACGAAATTTTTTACATATTGTAAGTCATCTCCGTATAAAAATAATTTACATAATAAAATGTGTGTAAGTAATATCACATTGATAAGTTTAGGCTTCTGACCTGTGTGCTTTGTCTATTCTTAGTATGCAAAGGAAATTTTGAACATCCCCATTCAAATCGCTCATGAGATTGATCATTGGAATCTAAACTTCTCCAAGCATATGCATGGTGGTACTTACCTCCTCACATAAACCATAGGCGACAATAGTTTCAAGGTTCTCACCACAAGATTGATCAAAATCTAGAACTCCAGTAATCTGCAATTGAAATATAGAGAGGTTAAATTCCATCTTTACAACTGAGAAATTACTCAAGATCGGAGATCAAAAGTCTTCAATATCTCGTCAGCTTGATTTGGCAGCCAAAAAATTCAGAGAAGAAATTTGTCGATGAAAATGCATTGCTCTTGCGGGAATGTCCCATTTTCAACAAAATTGTGTAATTTCCTTCCCACCCCTAGCCAGGCTCCCGGACTCATCCCGGATCCTATCCTCTCATATTTCCAGCGCCAACGCAGCCTTGCCTTAAGCGCCGTTGCTACTGATATAAACAGCGACATATATAGGCTGTTAACAACTTTGTGCAATTTCTACCGCAAGCGTAGTTGATAGAAGATGTACTAATATTAAAGATATCAACCATATTAATGGCAGACATTTCCAGTTTGGGTTCAAAATTCTAGTATATAGTTTGTTCTGAAAATCGAAATTGATGAAAACTATCTCACAATGTTCTGCGGATTCGGATGCCGTATATAGAACTAAATGTACTTTTTATTACTCGCGCAATACATATCTTTAATACAGTTCTATGAAAGTGTACAGATGAATGGCTGGAGTGATAGATGCTGCTTACAAGATGGCCCACATGGGCCAGGTCATCACCAATCGCTGAAAACACCTGCTACAAGGAGAGAGGAAGTCAATGAAGAGAATAATGTTCAACAACTATGTAAAATTTCACAATCGTTCAACTAGACTTGCAGCAAGCTCCTTGATTAGCAGCATGTTCAATGAGGCCTTATGAAAATATCTGAGAAACACCTTTCCAACTATGTGAAGTTGCGTGAATTCTATTTGATGGTCATGCCGCTGTGAAGTTTCAACTTCAAATATCCCCCTGATTTGCCATAGTGCACCTACACTCTATTTCACCATCAGTAATAAGTACAATTCTTTTTCAAGATCCGTTTTTAGTAAATGATGGAAGATTAGAGGACAAGACGAGAAAACTGGACAGTTACCTCTACAAGAGCATACCACCCACTTGTTGTTTGAAGCGAGTTAGAAGAAAATATTTTCTGTTACAGTTGTTTACAGTAAGAGTTAAGAATCCTCCTTGTTAGGGAAGGTATCAGTTTATCAAGTTCTGGACTTCTGATGTTGTGCCGGAGTTCTTCTACAGAAGTAGTAAAGTCATGGAAACTATCAAAGTAAATGTCAAGTTGGGAATGACGCACAATACATTGATTTAACTAGATGATTGAATTATTGGTTACAAGCACACGGGACAGTGGGAACAAACTCCAACGGTTTGTGACTGTCAGTAAGTTTTGACCAAAATATGCAATAATGTTCTTTAGATGAGTGGGTCTGACTTATCTAGTTTCATGTAACTCGTCCATGCATGTACATCTCAAATTGAAAGTTGAATCACACCTTGATCAGCCGAGGAATATCTTTTACATGTCGTAATGAATCTTGTAATGCCTCAGTCATATCTGTAGCTGCTTTTAAGATTTGTATCTTGAACAGTTCTTGAAGTTAAGGGTTTCCAAAAGGTTCTATTCCTAGACTTGGGGCATCTTACTTTCCTGAAATGATAACTTAGTGCAATATAAAATAGATACAGTATCAAGACGATCGTTAATGACATTCATATCAAGAATAGGTCTGAGAAACCAAAGCCTGCATAAAACCACGGATTGTGCCATAATTTAGACGAATACAGATCAAAAGACATGAAGATATGTGAGTAAAATGTCTTTGCAGCCAGAAGAATCTTATCTGAGCAGTTTTTTAACTACAAATTCACTCATGTTCACTTGTCATGGACTTTCGAGAGAGTCGAATAAGCTGCTCTGTCCAGACCTATCTAGACAGCTAAGAAACGGGCTGCAATCCTTACCGACGAAAATCTGAGCTCTTACCTTAGAAGCCGCCTGCCCATAACGGTTACGCACTGAACGCCAACATACACAAGACGGATAGTTAGATAACCACCACCTAGATTCACAAATTCTAGCAGTAATTGGCGATGACACAACTCCTCACCTTATTCAACATACCGAAGACCGAAAACCTGGAGTCATGAGTATGTGTTGTGTTAGAACCAATTCAATTTTCTTGTACAAGCGTTCGACAATTGTACAAGAAATGGGCATTCATTTCATTATAAATGATATCAAAATCCATCTACAGAATTTATTCACAATTATCATGAGTACATACCCTTCCTTGGTTTTTCCGATACCCATTAAACTGGCATGCTTATCTATCTGAAATATTTGTAGAGCATCATGTGTGATTGCATCCACGTGCAGAAATCCCTTTCTTCAGAAGTTGTGAGTAATTCATGAGGAAAATTAAGATCTTAACATATCATCTTACTGGAATTGGAACCTTCAACTTACTCATGCTTGACCAACCTTCAATTCAATCATGGGGATGCATGCATACCACACAAGTCCACCACACTGATAGATATTCTATGCCACTGATGTCTTGACTTAGACTCAGGAAGGTAATGCAAATGACAACATTCCAAAAGTTGGCCAGCCAAGCAAGAATGTGAGACCATCATACAAAAGGCAGCCTGTCCGAATGTCAAAGCAGATCATGTTAAAATACGTGTTGGATACAGAGAAAGCTCCAATATGCTTTTTATCTGTGTATATTCACCGTCGATTGCACCGTGATTATCAAGCATTTCTTGTTGTAGTATCGCAAGTAAGCCTCCAGAAGCTCGGACTTGCATTTCACTTCCAAAGTTTATCATCGAGTTCAACTGCATGCAATCAAAAGTGTGTAAAGATCATAGTATCTATGCCACTTCCGACTGCCCGACGAACAGAAAGTTGCTCCTCAAATTGATACTTCAAGTGGGAAAAATAAGTATTTTCTTAATACTTATTTTTTTCCACTTTAAGCATATATTTGCGGACCAACTTTCTGGCAAGGACGCTTGAAATCCACTTTCAACATTTTAAATGGACCTGAATCACTTTCGTTTGTGGATTTCAGACTTACAACATGTACTCTTTCTTTCTGATTTAAGTCGCTCCGTACGCCTCTTACTTGGAGATACTCCAGTCTGGAGTCAGCCGTTAAATACAAGTCTGAAGGTCAGAAGCAACCTGAGCTATCTTACATCAAATTATATTCAACTTCGTTAATATGCCTTAGAAAACACAGGTCCAGTTATTGATATTTGAACACTTTTCATAGTTCAGATGTTCTTCCTCGGTTTCCTTACATTACATTCTATGGAAATATAATGTTTGCTCATTGGAACAGTCATTCTTCTGAACATCAGCCTTGAAATTAAACACGCGATCAATGTAGTCACACTCGTACATCCAGCATTGTGTCTACAGGAGTGAGAAGAGTTTGGCTGTCTAGAGAAATTGCTCTAATATTGCAGATGAATGTTTTGGAAAATTCAGCAATATCTACAGCAGCAGATACTTAAACCATTTAATCTAAACCGTCCACTAGGAGATCGTTTAAAGAAAACTTTCCATTTATTTCGCAATGAGTGAGAATTCAATCCATGGGTACATTATACCTGTGTTTAGCTTGATGATAACTGAACATCGAGCTTTTGACAAGTTTGACTTGTGGGGCTTCAATGTCATCATGAACTGCACAAACTTAGCAAACTTAAGGTAATATCTTGACCATAACTGGATAGACATATTAGTATATGAATGTAGACAAAGTCTGTCTTGTGAGAAAAAGGATTTTAGTCTCCCAGATGATAGGACGTTCGAATTCTGTATTTCTGCTCTCATTGCCCAAAGCAAACATAGCGATATGAAGCAAAATACTATACTTACATTTTTCCTGGAGACATTTTACGAATTGGTCATCCATTTTCGTGCTAGTAAAAATTACCGTTGGCTGAATTTGGTACTTGACTGACACATACGAGTAGAACTCACAATCAGACCAAAGAAAGGGCAAAATCTCAACAAATGTCATTTCTTGGTTGAAGTATCCCCAATCTTGCTCGAATATCACCTCTATGGTTCATATCTGCCCGGAAATTCTAAGCTGGTATTTTAGATGTCGATAACCTCAGTATGTATTTTCATGTGACTATGGCGTGTCGTAAATATAGATTTATTGCGCATATTACTGCTTATACTGAGTTGCAATAGAACGAATCACATTATCCCATATAGAGAACAATAATATTTCAAGCATCTAGTAATTCCTCTTTAGATTTTGTAAATTTATAAATTGTTAAGAATAAAAAGCAATTCTTTTCTTATTTTCCCACTTTTACCTAGCTGGATTGTAGGAAGCTCCCAATCTTCTTCGCAAACATCCATGACGAACATTTCGCTACTACTTGTATTGAAGTAGGCAACACCAACTCTGTACATGAAGTCATTGAGGGGAACTTCTGAGTAGAATCAAGGTCTAGATCTTGCTACCTTGCTTCGATTTGGAAAAAGAATTCAGTTGCATCCACAATGGCAAAGAAAATAGCTGGGAACAAATTTCTGTTAAAAGTACATACCTTCGGCCTTGCATGATGCATGCCATATAAATCTGAGATGTAAAAAGCCGTCAACATAATGAATAAAATTATGGTTTTTGAGCCCGTGGTGAAAATGGCATACATATGCAGTACAAATCTGGAATCTACAACTTGAGATTTAGTATACATCAATTAAACTTACTCATTTAAGCGAGTTCCTACACTTTCAGAAACAAATGGAGCTTGTGAAGTATCAGGGCCATAAATTTGTGAAGAGAACAAATTGAATTAAAATTCGTCACCTTGTCGGATTCCGAAACATCGTCGGAATTGTCATCTCCACTTCTTTCTAATTTCATGTCACAATTTGCATTCTTCGTACCAACTTCAAGCTCATTTGAACAACTTCTCGATTGAATAGTAGAGGCATTTCTTGATAAAGAATCAATGTTTTTCAACTCGACAGGTGTATGTGTCTTCGACATGAAGGATGCCCAGGTCTTCATCTCAGCAAGAACACCTGCAATCTCAATTTTTTATAATCGGAATCTACCACAATACGACAATCTTCAGAAGACATGACTACTATGGAACTCAACTTGTATCATTCAAGTAAGAGAATAAAGACTAAACAAGAGAAGCATACAGGTTGCACATATGACTACTTTGACAGAACACCAGCAGCAACACCGGTTAACCTTGCTCACGTAAATCTAATTTCAGATACTCTGCTTTCTTCTTTATAATCACCGATTCTTCCTATCAATATAATCTATATTTTGAACCCTGAGAAACATTGTTCGATGATTTCACCTCAATTCAAGAATCTTTCAGCAAGGAGATCAGTTTACTGTATATTTTAGAAGATCGAGGCAACTTTGGATTGTGATTCATATTTCATTTCACTGACTATGGTCACAAATCAGGAGACTGATGTACCAGCCAGTTCTGACAACGTTAAGATTAAAAATCTACAACATCTTGAAGTCATTTATATGCTTAGTTTGGTTCGATCTGCTACTCTTATGATAGAGGTCATAATAATATATACATTTAAACTCTTCTCACTGTTTATCTTTGTGGAAATGACTGAAAATGGATGCCATACATCTAGTTCGCCGAGGTCTAAATGCTGCACTGAGTAATCAGTGAATTGAGAATATTTCAAATGAAGGGGAGATGTACAGTAACAGACCATAAAATCAACATTTGGATACTTTCAACCAAGCCTCACTTTTACAAAATGATCTCAGTCCGGTTTTGTCCATTAAACCCAAGAGATCAGAGTTTGGCAACACGTGGACAGGATATTACCCTTCGAATGTATCGGTACATCTATCAAAGATTTGTTACAATATTCTTCAAAAAAGAAAAGTACTGAAAATTAAATATTGAAAGATTTAAACACAGCTTGACAAATTGTTGCCCAGATAGAAACCAAGTCAAATGAATACGAGATTGCACACAGAGATGTAACTGATGCTTATTATGATAGCGCATCACGTCCCAGTGTAATGGTATGAGACTCCACCTTAGAACCATGTGGACCACATAGGAGACTGCAGCCGTCGAAAGAATAGCGGAATGCAAATGAGAGAGGGAAGTACTCACGCAACGTTGAGACCTTTTACGAGGAGAATGGTGATACTATCGCGAGATTTAAGCGATTGTACCAAGCCCGCGCCATTTTAAACTGTGTGCGACTCAGGTTCGATCGTGACCGTCCATCGAGCATGGGAAGATTCAATTTAAATCCACCGCCACGTGGCAGTAGTTGTCCTAAGAGTCTTAGGTCTTAGGTCTTAGGAGCGTCTTAGGCTAAGACGCTCCTTGCACATACGACTTTCAAATCATTTTCTCTGAGCCCTTGAACTAACAGTCCTCACAACTGTGGAACAGTCTCGTACGTCCGTGGAGCACACCTCCGGTCTCGTAACTACAGTGCAGTATTTGTCTTATTATACCCTCATTCTTGGTTGTGTTGTGGAGACGCGCTGCCCTCTTCAAGATATTATCTGAGTGTGTATTTAAGTTTGACTCCGACAATTTTCACTCCTAGACAACTGTTATTGAAAAATCAATATAACGTTATCTATTTTTTTAATTATAATTTCTTTTTATAGACGTAAACAGTTATTTTACCTGTAAAGAAAAGGTAACAATTATAAGAAAATCCTCTTAAAGCATTATTCATATTATGATTACAGATGTAACATAAATTCAATATATCAAGACATGTAAATGTCATAATTTTTTGTTATCGTGTAGAATACGATTTTAGTAAAGTGTGTAATAATCCCATCAATTAAGCATTTATTATAAGCTGCGAACAAGCCCATTACATTACTTCACTCTTTGCTCGCTCGATCACGATAATCACATGAGGTAAGAAGCGAAAAGGGTATATATACAAAGTGCACCCTCGCCCTGATGGCTCAGGAAATCGGATCCACACACCTGTTAATAACAGAAGCATTAAAATTTCAGATGTAGGGTTCGGTCACCAAAAGTGGTCCAATGACAGAGGGATGAACATGGTACGAATAAAGTGAAGGCCAAAAGAACTCAGCGCATGGCACGTATTACGTCCTGGGTGAATTTTAGAGATTCAGTTAGACTCTGTTCATTAATTAGTGTACACTTAAGAGAAAACGCCCTTCTATCATTACAAGATAGAAGGGGTTCTCAACACGGGGCTTAGTCTCTGGTTTACTCTTTGTATTCATCGTTTTTTTATATTCATTTAATCTCTTCACATAAAAGAGAGGTTAGAGATGAAAATACTCCTCATTAGTGAATCCGATACAGCTTACAAAAGTAATAAAATATAAAATATACCTTGAGGATACATTATGAAAATAGCTCAAAAGAATCTTGAGAATGCACTATGTTAGAAAATAATAATAATTATTGAACAAACCACTCTGTGGACTATATTAATCACAATTGCGGTAAGTTGGTTCAAAGGTTGTTCTTGAGTCTTTTTTACTTTTCCTTTTTTCTATTCTTGTTTTAACACACATGTTATTCAGTTAGAGTTTGTTTAACATTGCTCCATGTGATAGTGCAGATTTTGATGACAAATTTTAGTTACAATGATACCATTCTGATTTGATGTTTTATAATGGCATGAAATGATTGAGTTTACATTGCTTTACATTTTCATCGATCAGTTTATAAATACACATATTTGATTCAAGAATACCATGTGTTTGATGAAGAAGAAAATTATTATCCATGACTCCTGGAAAAATTTTCAGTAGAACATTATTCACAAAGGGTACATGATCTAAAATATATGAGCATGTAAAAACTTCTTAATTTGAAAACATAGCCTTGGAGATTGAATTGGAATCTATCCACTTCATGCATGTAAATCTTTTACATAATAAATGAATAACATTTCTCCAAAAAAAAATACATATAAAGCTATCTTTAAGAATAATACACATGGATGCTTTTTTATGACGAAAGAATCTCGTCATGTGATTTTTATCTGAATAAAATATTATATGCATATCATTCTATCTAGATTACTCTTACCATGACAATAATACTCGAACCTATTTGCATAACGAACTTTAATTTTGATCAAATCAAAAGATGCTTTTGTCTAATCATCTGTAATATAATTAAATTAGATTACCATCTCTATTTTACACTTGAGATTTTCTGAGAATTATATGGAACTAAATAAATCCTTTGAGTTGGAAATAAAAATAATTACTATTATGCTTCTAAAAAAAATAATTTTGTATCAAAAAAAAATTATTCTCTTTCCATAATGTGTGATTCAATGACTTTGATCTTATATTAAAAACCATATTAACCTTAAACAATTATCATTAATGTGCCACAACTCTTTTCATGACGTAAATTATTAATATATTGTAATTCAAATACTTAAGATATTAAAAATAATGGAGTCATCACAATTGAAATTCCTAATGTGTTTATATGTTGAAATTTTTTGAACTTTAAATCATATTTTTTTTTGCATGTAATAGTTACTCAATAGTGTAGAAAAAACTATTATCTAAAATAAGAAAAATTTAATTTTTTAAAATATTGAATAATTAACAATTTAAGAGTAATAAAATTTTATTTTCTGTCTCAATACTTTTTGAAAATAAATATGATCTTCCACAAAAAGATATTGGGAATTTAAAATTTGTTGATAAATATAATTCTCATTACATTTGGATAATATATAATTTTTTAGATAATAAGATACTCTTCATCATGATCATGAATAATTGATTTTTTTGAAAAAAATTTCAACTCATTATGCTTGGATTATCTTACAATTACAATCCAATTATTAATCATAACACAAGATGTTTTACTAACCACATGTATTAATCTTGATGTTATTGTATAAATTTTATTTCAATCAATGCAAATTATTATAGTGCATTGAATATCATTTAAACCTTATTCATAGAATTCTTGATTTAAAGCAAGCCTCATAAACTCTGACAAATGATAAGTTTTCCGGAATTGAGATAAATTTGGCAATTTTTTGAAAAAAATTGGCATTTTTTGCATCAATATCATAATTTCACTATTTTTTGTACAATGACTTGGCGATAATTGTTTCAAACGTTAAAAAACTGAAGAAAAAGCTGGTAAGGCTAGTGCAAGAATCATTTTACTTTCATTTGATGATAAGAAATTACTTATAATTGACTTCGTATTTGAAACATTGTTGTCAATTCATCATACAGTGGACGCAAATGCATGAAGCGTCAATTCAAGCAATTTTATGTCGTTGTGCTTGTTGGAAATTATCTTCACATCCAGCTCACGCACATAGAAAACAAGTCGATCACGATGTTTGCTTTCCGCCTTGTCAAACATGTCTGTGTTGCAATGATTGTCCAAGTGCGCAAGTATCTGATCCATCAACTCTTTAATAAACAAAACATGATGCATCTTGACTAAATCCGATGACATCATGTAATGATCTTTAATGAGTTAGAACTAAAGTAGAGATTACTCAAGATTGACTAGAGTAGATGACAGTGAAACATCTATAATGTCATGTCAGCAATCTGTATGCTAGCTGAATGTGTAAGTTGGGAGTTGTGACACCAATTTTTTGTATGTATGAAGTAGTATTAGAAGTAACCAAGGAGATGATCATTGTTATGTTAGATATAACTTAGTCATCACTAACTAGACTTAGTTATGACTAAGTCTAGTTAGTGATGACTAAGTTTAGCTATAATGTATATACTTAGCAGAATAATAAGCAAAGTTTTAAATTTTAAAAGATTAAAAGTTATGTTTTGTCTCTTACAAAAGTATATATTTCAAAAATAAAGAATTTTGACTGCATGATTAGTTTTGTTGATTTGACTAAGTTATGAAAATTTAATTTGATAAACTAAGTATAATCTTAACTTAGTGTCAAGTGGAGGCCTAGAAGTTGAAAAATCTCAAATGTCATGTAGTCATCTCAATCTAAGGTTTAGTAAATTTCTAAAAGTTTTAGAATTTAAATAACATGTTGCCACA